ATTATACCTTACAGAAATTATTACGTAGCTGTATCTGAACTGGTAAATTTCATGGTGAATTTCAATTGGACCACTTAATTGCATTTTCATGAATGAAAGTTATTAAGAAAGGCTACTATTTGCATGGCACACCGCAACGTGCACTCAACGGCTCATGAGTCACCGCTTGCCGCAACGCTGAAATTAATTGGAACTTGTTTAAAGTAAGTTTAAGGCATGAAACGCATAGTAGAAAACGGGATTCGACCGGTTCGCTTGCGTGCACGTAATCCTGGAAACTTCATAAAACTTGCATTAACACATTCACTGGCAGCCGTCGACAATGCTTCGACGTTACTCGCGGGGATACACAGACGAATTTCCACTACACACTTGCAGCTACAAAAAAAGTTGAAGCTGTTCTTCAACGTTCTTCAGTGCCACTGTCGGAACACTGGCAACGTAGCATTCAATGACCCACGTAACACGTGCCGACAGCACGAGCTGTTAACGAAGTAGCAACAAATTACCATCGCATACGAAATTTCTAAAAATAAACATTTTGTGTTTCATACACATTTATACACTTGGTGTCAGTAAACATATTAGTTTTCCCGCATAAAGGCACCGTAAAGCCTAGGACATACGTTGCCCAGCCATACTTATCCGAATGTCGCAACAATGCGGTGTGACTAAAGGCTTTCAGTCACGTTGAAACTTGCGGCGATGTGTTTGAACCTTTTCAAGTTTCTGTTTGAGTGCGACATCTATCATGAAAGCTTGGAAGACTTAAATCTGTCGCTTGTAGCTTTGGCTGCATCGCGACAAGTTTCAACGTGACTGGGAGCCTTAAGGGTTCGCATCACATAAACTACGGCGTGGATGCGAAAGAGTTCCATTTCGAACAAAAAGGATCGGCCTGAAAACTAAGCCGGACGAACAATAACAATTAGGATACCTCCGGAAACGTTATTCACGAGCCTTCGTGCGCCGCTCGCGGAACAATCGATGAGGATCGCGAGTCCCGCGGTGCTCGCCCGAAGCCCCCGGGCCAATCAGGCTTCACGGAGCACGCAACGTTACGGAAACAGTTCTGACCGGGTGTAATTTGTGTTTAACTTTAATTAGACCCGGGGAAGGGAAATGCCGGCGTCGGCGTTCACCGAGCTAGTCCTCTCCACGGTACATTTACTTGGGCAACACCGAGCGCATAAACGTCGCCGGTGGTGTGTTATTAAGTTAAGTCGGCCGCAGCGCGATCCTACCGAGGAGTCCGGCTGGGCACAGCTGGCCGTGGTCGTCGTAGTCGTCGCCGTCCTCGTCGTTGTTGTCGTCGACGTCTGCACGGCGCGCGGCATGGTGTGTCGTGGTCGTAATCGTTACGGTGCGCGCACATGAAAACGCGACGCAAAGCATGCGTGTAAACACACATGCAGGAGCAGCGGGTATGCCGCTGCCGCCGCCGCCATCGACTTGGTGGCATAATAGGTAAAGGGTGGTGGAGAACGTGCGGACGGTGAAACGATGACGGGAAAGAGAGAGAGTGAAAGAGAACAAGGGGGGGAATACGATAGGGACAGAGGGAGACGTAACACGCTATGGAAGGCACGAGATGCGGAAGGAAAAGAGACAAGCACGGACAAGCGTGGAGCGAGGGAGTGGAAGGGTCGGGTTTGGACGGGCACGGGACGGGTCGGGGCGGAAGAGCATACAGAGGTAGCACTTATCCACGTATCCAGCTCTCTGCAGTGTGACGTTATTTCACGAGAGCACCGATCGTATCGCCTTAATTGCTCGCCGGGTTAAACTGCCGCGGCCGCCTCTTATCGACGAATCTGCACGAGTGCTCGCCGGAACGAGCGACAAAGAGGGAGAGAGAAATCGAGTCAAAGGGAAAAGGAGGGAGAGCGCGGGAGGGCTGGTCTGTCTGTTGTGCGCGCCGCGTGTGTGCCGCTGCTGAGTGTGTCAGGTGTTTTCAGCTCGATTCACATCACTTGGAACGGCGTGCTGGCTGGCACCAGCGAATAAAAGAAAATACCGTATGGAGATGCGCCGAGGTGTATTTACACTGGCGCGACGAATGAGGTGCCGTTTCCCCTTTGCCTTTCAGATGAGCTTCTTTGCTGGTATCGATGGCCGATAATAACCGTTGTTGCGGAATGGAACACCGTCGCCGAGGTTTGTGTGGATGCTAGAGACCGACGGGCTCGAGGTTTTTACTGTGTTATTCTGTTTGTCAACGACGTCGGAGTGGATGTTATAAATGCTTAATTGAATAGTCTACGAGCTATGGAGAGCAAACAGATTCTAGCTCTCGACGGTCGATCGGAATTGTGTATTCTTCCTGCCGAGACGAAAGTATAATGCAATGGGAATATTTAGAAGTGAATGCTATAGTCTTTCGTTTGTTTTTTTTTTATTGTAATTACTGTGATACCTTGCTGCAGAGCTATAGGATCAGTGCGGTTTAATTTCTTAATCATTTTTGTGTGATAGTTCTTTTTCTGATAAGCGTAATTATTAAAACTGTGATCACATTTTATCTGCTCGCTATAAGAAGATTACTTTATCGATTAGTGTGCCTGCAAGCACTATTCTAGCTTAGTTCTCTACATACTTCAGTATTGGTTTTTATACTAGTCTATTGAGTCTTTATCCTAAGCTGTATTTATCCTAAGCTGTCTTAATCCTAAGGAGTCTTCAGGTAATAGATATCCTGCTTCTACAGACGCTCGTCACCGATCCGTAGATGTGAGTTATTAGGAGGACATTATTATTCCGTCTCTAAATGGATTTTCATTCCTAATTCTGTCTCCTTACAAGGGTTGTCTCATTGCATTCACCTCAGGTAGTCATATAATACGACGTTGCCTAAGGAATAAGAAAATTAGTTGAATTTCTGAGCTCTTCAAATAGCCATCCACATCGTGATTAGTGACCTGCAGGATACGATTTCTTTCAAAGCAGTGATATTAAGCGAAAATTTCATCCGATGAGGATGATAAGTTCATCTAGTCATAAATCTACGTGGCGTGCACTGTAAAATGTCACTATGGTGGTCGGAGAATTGGAAAGGTCAAAAGGTTGGTTAAACTCAATTTGGAACTAAACTTTGTTCGACGCGTTTAGCAATCTGCAGTCAGATGTGTTTAGAATACTCTAATTACGTGCAACCCCAGCAACTATAACCTTGCCAATTAATATGTAAAAGCGTGCTGCTGCAACATCGCGTTATGTGTTTAAAAATAACAATGTCGTTTTAGTCACCAAAATTACATTCGATAACCAGCTCACTGTTCTGTATTGAAAATCTATGTATTAATCTTGTTTTAAACGCGTAATTTCTCGTTTACTTATATCTTGTGTTTTTATGCATCCTAGACGTACTAGAAAAAAAAATAGTGCACGAAGTGAGAAAGTAAAATTAATTTCCGGATAGCAGGAATCGATACCAGACCTACTGGGTGAAAGCCAAGTATTCTGATCACTAGACCGTATCTGATGTTATTAAGTTTCTTTATCCCCGTAAATCAGAGAATAATACCTACTACCAACATGCATTTTTAAATTAATGTCATTATTTCTCCATTTTACGAAGGAATAATCAATGTGAAATATTCATAAGCACATGGTAGATGCAATTCTTCTTTCTGTAACAAGGTATGACCAGCTATTCCCACTATATTATTTTATTTAAATAAATTAATCATTCGCAATGACTTGATGCCAACATGCTATTTCAAAAACTACGTTTTCACAAAATTCAACAGTAATTTGTTAAGTATACTAGCCTGTTATTTTTATTTTTATCACGGCAACTTGTATTCACCGTTGTTCCACCAAGAAACTCCATCATCGATTCGTCAAACGTTCGCCGTCGGCCCCGGGTAGCAAGCATTCAAAGCGAGTTTCCATTGCATAATCCCTAGTCCGCTCCGAACATGCACCGGTTAAGTGTTTTATTTATGAGATCCTCCGAAGTGCAGGACTTAACCGTCGCCGCGGACACGCGAGCGGTATCTACAGTTTCTAGTCCCAATAAAAGTGATTTGCGGCACTACAGAGCCCGGCTACTCAATAAACTACATTAGCCCGTTGAACGACACGATTCGTGCGCGCGCGCGAAAGCCGGGTTTCACCGGCAAACCGAGTAGCGACGGGCTACTCGAAAGAGAGGTGTGTGTTCCGCGTTTCGCTCGGAGCGCATCGTTAAGCGAACACGAGCGGAGCGTGTCGGTGTTTGCGGAACGCATGAAATATTTCCGCAGGAAACAATAGCGGCTCATAAACGCGATAGTAAAAGCGGAAAAACGTGCGTTCACCGGTGTATCGTTCGCGGATCGATACGCGGAATAAAATCTCTCAATTACCGCTAACGAGAGTAGAACGAAATCGCGCACGGTTGTCAGCGTTGTACAAGCTCTCTCTCCCCCACCTCACTTTTTCTCTCTTCCCCTCTTTCGCCCCGCATACCGAGGAATTATGAACGCGAGAATCGTTCTCGTTCCGCGATGCAGTCGAGGCCCGCGATCTCGCAGCCGCGCGCACACGATCATTACGCCATGCATTATTTATGTCATTCCTTGTTCCGTTCGCAATGTGGGTCTACGAATCAAAATGCATTGCTTATGCAAATGCCGGCCGCGCAGCCATAGTCTCCAGGGTGAATTCGCAGTCTGCTTCGGGGAATAATCATAATGATCAATAAGATACACCGGTGTCGACGGAGGCGTGCATTGTTTCCTTGTCTCCCGTCCCCGGTGTCCTCGTGTTTTCTCGCTTCGCTTTCCGCCACGACCCTCTTCGCGGCCGCCCCCGTTTCTCTTTCTATGTCTCGGGTATATCCTCTTCCTCCTCGCGTTCCACCCAAGCTTCATGCAAATCTTGAGCCGCATTGTCTGGCGATATTAGGGGAACTGTTATCGCGTTGCATAAGTTCCGTGTTCTCGTACTCTCGTCTCCGCGCCGCGCCGAGCCAGACTGGTAATCCGTTTGTGCTCGAGCGTCGAAGCAGACGTGTCGTGCCGCTGCTCCCAACTACTCGGTGAAACGAATAACATTGACTTCCTTGAGCGTGATAGACTCCTTTTGTGTCGGATGGTAGTGTTTGCATCGGGGACAAGATTGATTGAGTTTTGATTTTTATTCTTGAAGGGGAATAATGTTCTCAATATTTACTAAGATCTCTTTTTAATTGTCAGACATCAATCTTGGGGTTTTCTAGTTGTATTTGTTATTTTATAGTTTTGTTTATAGTGTTTATAGTTTGAAAAGTGTCGAGTTTAATATTTTGTATTTTATTATTTATAGTTTATTATTTTATGCAATTAATATTTTACCCATATCTGTAGATATCTGTAAACTGTCGTTTCATAATTATTCATTAACAATTGATGTTTCTTTCGTGTTAATACGAGCAAGTTGACGGTATAGACACAACGGGTACACATTTAAGTCCTTGATCTAGGTTAATTTATTTATGACTTTGCAGTCGCAACATTGAGCAACGGGAAACGGATTTAGTAGCTCGCATTACTTAAAGTCTCTGTATTCGTTTCCTTGGTTATAGACTTCTGTCGGTGTGAAGTTAGTTCCTTGTGAATCACGGATCCGTGTATTCGATAATTTGTTCGCGTATCCCCGTGACGTGACGTCGCAATTAGAGTTCGACTTTTTGGATGGACAGGCTTGAAGCCGTGCCAGAGGATCGGAATTGAGTCTAGTGGGGAACGAGGGTAAGAGGAAATTATTGCGGTAAGCCAGGTGCAATGAAACAGCTGTATGGACGGATTTCAATTATTCAAATGAAATTGAACTTACGTAAGCCCAATTTCCGAAGAAATGTGTTTGATGCGCGAATAAATAATTTATTTATATTTCAAGCGGTTTTTAGTCGAGAACAAATCACCTGGCACCTGAAGACAACATATTACATGGTCTGCTTCAAATGTGTTCAATCTATTAATACTAACACCTCCGTCAGAGACATTGAGTCGATTCAGATCTGTTATGTTCCACTTGTCTGCTACAAGCGCAAGAAGTCCACAACCTAATTACAAGATTTTACAAACATGAGAGGCGATTGGTCGTTTATATTTCAACAATCTAATTTTATTAGAGCGGGATAATTGTTGAAAGTGTTGAGATAAAATCGTAACGTAAAGGGTCTAAAGATTCCATTGCGCGATAATATTATCGTTTCATTATCTCGTCAAGTGATAAATAAACGTCGGAGATCGGAGTCTAAGGGCACATGGAAGCCAAGTAATATGAAACGCTCGAACTAGGTATTTCACTCACGAAATGCACGTACGAGCTACAGAGACCTTGACCAGCGGCGGGCTTTCGAGCTACGAAGGTGTAAGTCGGTCCAGTTATAGGGCGAATGCGGTCGATTCTGGTCGTTGGGCGGTTTCGGAATCTGCGCCACGTGTTGGCGGTTTTGCGGTGCGAGGAAAACCGCCAGCCCTCGAACCTCTTCTCTGTCGTTCTCCATTTGCTCTGTCCGCCTGTACCATCTTTTGGGGCGCAGACCCGATTTTCTCGGAAAACTTTCCACCCATCAGACACCGTTCTCGAGTTTCCTCAATGCCTACATCCTGTAGCTCCTTGGTATCTTAAAACCTGGATAAAGCTCGCGGGCATTACGAAACCTCGAGCTTTTCATCTTTCGTGTCTACACGATTAGATGTTAAAGAGGTAGCTAGAACTTCCTCGCGAAACTTTTACTGTTTGAATTGAATGGAATATTTGTGATGATTTCTTTGTTAATTCCGTGTTTCGGGAAGAAGTTACCTTTTATAAATATCTTTGTGCAACGATGAAATTATATGGGTTGTCAATCGATTTATCACACATTTATAATAATAGAATACAATAAACAGTATCTTCTTAAAAATTATTCAATTCGCATTGCTAACCTTTGTGACAATGCAATTACATATAAAGTAGTATCACAAAGAAAACGTCACATAGTCACAGAAAAGAATGGTATTCAAAAGCAGTCTTGCTGCACAGAAACCTGGTAACAAATTATTTCGCGATCGCTAAGAGCATCATAGACACCGACTCGTTCTTCCTTTTTGTCTTCCGTCTTCGTCGAAGGTTCTCGACACGCGTGCAAAAGGTTTCACGTACCGACAGGTACTTAATTATACGGCAAACGCGGGGATGATGGAGCGTTGTCTAAACTCGATTCTCGTTTTTCCGGCACGACAGTTTCCGCGGGAAGAACGGCAAATCCCCATCCTCCCGCGTTAGCGGGAGCTCGCCTAGCTAGATTGATGGGGGCGGAGTAATTCCACACATGGGGCGAATGTAATCTACGACCTTTCCGAAAGTGTTCTCCGGCACTTGACCGTCTTCCTGTTTGTGCATCGGCGTCGCGTTCCCCGCTCCGTGCGCGAAGTTTGCAATTTACGGTGAATAAGGAAGAACCGTTTGTAGCGCGAAGTTGTCTCCCGCCTCCCGTACCCCCTTGAAATTCTTCCGTGCGCTGGCATGATGTCCCGAGGCACAAACTTCCGGATAGAATCGAGCGATCCGCGCGACGGAGGCGATGCGATTACGGGAACTTTTACGCTTTGTTCAATTATTACCAGGCAATTATGGTAATTAACTTGGTCGAACGAGCACAGCTCCGTGGCTCCTCTTTCTCCTCCTCCTCCTCCTCCTCCTCTCCGTGCTCTTCTTCGCCTTCCTTCTCCGGCCCTCTCTATTCTCTTTTCCTCGCTTTACCATTAACCGGCACGGTTCACTTAGCCCGTTAATATGTATAAAGCCTCGCTCAGCAGGGCAGCGGCGGAGAGAGCTAATACCGTGGATCGATTCGCGAAATGATTAATGTATCTTCAGCGGTTTGACGCTTGTGTTTCGCTTTCGCGGGAAGAGACATCGCCGCTGCGAGGACACTATGGAGAGGCCCTTAACTCGGCCGATAATGCAGCCTGATAATCCGGTCTTTAGTGGACGGTCAGGATCGATGGAACTAACGTAATTAGGCGCGGTGATATGCGCCACTTAAGCGTACTTGAGTGGCTGCAAACGCAACTGATTGGTTCTGTTGCCACTATTCGCCGTAATGCGCACCACGACACGCTCGCCGCCTGTTCTCTCTGATGCATAGGTAATGCCTTTTGTGCGGCGCCGAGTTATTAGGATCGCTGACAAACCGTACCTGCGAGCCATGCACCACCATAGCTCCTTGAGCGCTATTGTTTCATTAAACGCCACTGCCCCTGTCTTGTTCAGGCTAATAGTTCGATCTGATTACTAGAATTTTCGTTTAACCCTCAACAGTTTGCCGCCAAAAGTATTTTCGAAATCTCTTTTCGGAATTTGTATCAGTCGATATAATTATATTTCGATACGCCAAACTAATTGTAACATTTGAGTACTATTGAGCTTGTATTTGCATACGATGTAATTACGACGTTGTAAATAAACGAAACATACACTAATGAAATATATTGTTACCGCGATAAAATTGAATATAGGGCCCGCTTCACTGTAACACCGGAGCATATTAAAGACTGTCATCACTTAAATTTCAGTGTAACCGAATTCTGCGTGAATATTATTTTAATGACTGATAACGTTGATTCTGTAGGTATATATTAAAGCTATCAACAGCAATAATGTTATCACAGAGCGGATCGCGTCTCTGATCCCCCTAATAATTTCCAACAAAATACCAGACAAAAGACAGAGACCCAAATAGCACTGTATAAATTAGGGAAAAAAAGAATTCGATTGACACCTCTATTGAAATAAGCTGTGCCCCGATGTCAATTCTTTTTTCGGCGATGGGATGATGGACGGGCTATTTCACGGCACTTTACCGTGCCGCGCGTTATTTGAATACCGGCCACGTTATTATGATTGCTCTCGATCGAGGGGAAAAAGGTGGGCGGAGAGGGAAAAGAGGGACAGGATGCGGTTACGCGGACGGGTGTGCGCGGGCGGGTCGAGCTATCGGATAATTAAATCGGCCGCAGGACGTAAAGGACACTGATTGACGGGTGCCGGCCGCGCTCTCTCATCATTATTCGTCGAAACGACATAATTCGCGTTTCGCTTTTCGATGCAGGCTAACTGCGTTTTCTGGCATAGTCCCACCTCTCTCACCCTCACCCGTCCCCCAAAAAACTGTTCTCCGGCAATTGCTGGCTTTAGCCGATGTAAAACCATGAATATTTTAAACCGCGGGGAAAAATGGAATTTTCTCTCGTCGAAAATTCCTGCCACGGAAAAATGAAGCGACGGCCCTTGCATTTTGACGAGTACACGGTCGCCGGAGAGGGTGGAACAGCGGCCGAGCTATTATATATTATTGACACGGCCGCGCCGCAAACAATGTTCCGCACGGCGCTGAATTTTTCCGTCGTGTTTTAATTTGATTTTATAGCGACGACACCTATTTATTACGTCTTTATTTGATCGTGACAATCACCCCGGCCCGATATTGAATCCGATGTAACCCATTCGCCGCGCACCCCGTTCCACCGTTCATCGCGTCGGTAACATTAAATGCAAAAATGCGGATTTACTTCACGCGCGAGTCACTGCGCCTCGTTTTTGACCGATTCCTAGTCGTCTTTCGGTGGAAGCAAAATATTCGGGGAAAAATATCGGCATCGTGTTTGCGGATATAAGCAGACGGGCGAGCGTGAAACGCTGTTCCGTTCCGCTGATTGGATATGTTTGCGTATGCCACACGCGATTGAAGCCGGGACCCGTGTGCATACCGGGAAGTCTATAAAACGCGAGAATTTTCCGGGTCAACTTGATAATAGTTCGAAAATCCGAACGCGATGTGGTCTCATTTTAGAGGTTGTGATCAATCACCGATAGTGAATAGAAAAGATAATCGTAAAGTTCTGTTATTTTTATTGGTTTGCAGAATGTTGAACGGTGATTGAAACCTGATAGAGCACGCGATAACACGATAGAGTGCTTTTCAAATTAAAAACGATTTTTTTCTGTTTACCGTTGATGTCATTGAGATTATCTTTGTTTTGCTCGTACCAAAAGGAAACTTGTCTG